TTTATATACATATATACAAAGCATCAGTGACACTGGAAAAACACGAGTCTTTCAAATAACTGTCTGGATTAATAAGGTCTTTGTGCAGTTACATGAATATGATGGAATTATTTAAGAAGCAAAAAAACGGTTTTCATTTGATATATGCTGATTATTTGATTATTTTTTCTTCATGTAGACATGTACATCAAATTTACTACTTCATATTATCTATCACGGGGCCAAATCAACCGCCTAAAAGAAGGCAGTGGAAGAATAAAACCACATCCACCTGACACTAAGATCATACTAATGACTGTTATAGCAAAGTATTTTTAAACTATTACATGACATGTTATTGTCTCAGAAGAACAGTGGCTCTACTATGAGTACTGTTGCTTTTCTTTAATTAGTACACCTGCCACACAAAGAACAAGACAATACATAATGAAATACCGACTTTCCCAGAAGCTATTTAAGTTGGATAAATCTTGACAGCACGTAAGTCAAAACAGACTCAATATATCCTAAGTACAGCTCTGTGGCAGAAATTACATAGTGAAGGCACTGCTAAGGAGGCAAGTCAGAAGAATTAGTCTTACCTGTTAAATCCATAGTCATCAGCACTTAAACTCCTATTCTTGACTACAGTACTACTTTCAATATTAAAAAGTACCCTCATATGCATTTGGGTTATTATTTTTATTTTCCATGGGAACTCAAGGAGCACACAAGCTCATCTTTTCCTGCCCACTCTGGCCACTCAGACATACACATATATCTTACCAATCACTTCAGTGATGAATGTTTTCTTCTGGTTGACCTTACTGGACACAATCAGTTATTTTGGTCATTATCATGCTATATAGAACTGATAAATACTTTGGTAAATTCTGATAAGGTTTCTATTTCCAAAGTATATTATTCTACGTTTTCCAACTATTGTAACCTGTTGTTACAAATTATTCTACATCCATCACTCAGGACTGCCCAAATAAAACATTAATCTTTTCACCACATAGGTACTCTCAACAGTACACTGACCCTTGCCCACTTTCATCCAGAGTAGCAGCTCTGAAGCACTGTCTCACCATAAAGGGTAATGTGTCATTAGACTAAAAATAAAACATAAGTATTTAAAAGATGCCCAAGTAGAGGTACTACTGCTTGAAAACTGGTAGATGAAGGGGTAAACAACCTCAGTGTGAATTCTCCTCCAATCTGTTGAACAAAATTACTTCTACTCAGTAGCAATGAGTAACAGACAGCAGCTGTCAGACAGTCCCAGAGACAGTAACTTACTGGAAATAATGACTTGTTGGTCATTGTCCTGCTTTGTATTCAACCCAGCAAACACAGCTGATGCTATCCTATTAATCCACCTGTATTCTTTAAGTTTGAAGTATTTCTGGTCAAATTAAACCATTCTCATCCTCAGGTATAAAACTATCAAAAATCATGCAAACCATATAAACCAATACTAGGATCTTGCTGAAGCAGGATAAGCAGATGTAGTCCAGAACCACCCACTCCATTCTCTTTACAGGGTCAGAAAATGGGAATATGAATTCAGGCCATTTCATTTAGTCTGTAGTATCGTAACTTCAAGTTAGTTCTCTCAACCATTTTAGGTAAAGCTCTGGATTTTGTACTGAAGAAAAGGTACATTCAGCAAAGGTCTGTTCTTCCAAATGCCTTGAAGAGAGAACCTCTGGGAGACAGCTGCACTAGACAGTTTGAGGGTGGTTACTAACCTCCTCAAAACTCAGACTAACTTTTGTAAATATACAGTCATTTACCACTACTCAGCTGCAACATGAGCTGAGTACGACATGACAGAGAGACTGAATTATTTTTCTGAACCTAAATGAACTTCTACAAAGACAAAAAGAACACAGAAACAGTGATATTTATGATCTACTTAGTAAAGCACTCTAAAATTTTAGAGATGGATTTAATTCAAGGTGAAGGGAGAGAAGAAGGGTTAAGCTAAGACTGCTGTTTCAGTTAATTAAACTCTCCTCACACAGGAGGAGTAAGGGAAAATCCAAAGATTAGTATTATGGTCAATATTATGAGAATTTCTTTTTTTTAAGGAATCACATAAACAGTGACAGTATCAATACAACAACAATTAATTATTCCATTTAGTAATTCTGAACCAAATAAAAACAAACTGTAAATTGCTAAGTTCTAAAAAAAAAGTGCAAGCAACTAGTATCTTACACTTAACAGTGGAAAAGATCCCAGAGGAGGTGACAACTCCAGCTCTCATAGCAAAAATACAAATGTCTCATTTCTTTGGTTTTCAGGGAGAATTAAGAACGTGGCACATTTCACAGTATCAGGCTTAAATCTGAGAATGGGTACTTACATACACAAACGATTTCCAGACCTGGACCAATTAATCTCTTATCATTTATATGACAGCAATTCATTTTGGTTTGTATGGGCAATCAGATCTCTCTCAGCTAAAGGTCCTGATCCTGCAAGTTCTTATGGTACCAGACCTGAAGGCATCTTTGCAATATACTCTTCCGCTATTTTAAAATATAGTCCTAAATTCTTCTCATACACTATCCTACTACATTTTTTCTTCCCAAAGCCCCAAAGAACAGGAAATATCAACTACAGGGATGTTTAAAGTTACATACTTTTCAGACCAGGAGAACAAACTTTAAAAGATAAGGAGAGGAAGCATCGGAAAACCCCACTCTGCTTTTTGCATCGAGCTTTAAAACATCAACAGAGCTAATACTTCAATTAATTAATACTTTAATTTCCACAAGAACTTTAAAAAGTAATTTTAACAAAATGGGCTTCTGTCATGACCTCCTTACATATTTCATTAGAATAGCAAAGCATTCAGTCTGTATTTATTTGTATTGCTAGTTGTAAAAACCTCTATGTCCCTTCATCACAACAGTAACTGAATGTCTCCCAAAAAGCCTTGCAAGGTGCAAGTTTCCTGTGTTACCATTATACATGTGAAAAAATAGAAGCACAAAGAGAATCTTTAGTTCACTGTTACATAGGAAAACCTAAAAATTAAACATTTTTCTTAAAGGATTTGTTGTTTGGTTGGTTGTGAGATTTTGGGTTTTTCTAAGGCCAGTCTGTGACAACGAAAATTACAGTCAGGCTAATTTTATTCTCAAGTCTCTCACAGAAGAGAAACTATATTAATCTGCCCAGGAGTTCTGTCTATAAGTGACTTTACCTGTGTTTCTGTATTGTTTCCTGTGAGAAGATAAGGCCACCTTGAATTGTCACCTCAACCAAACTCTACACCCTTACACTGCCATATCCTACCCCTCTCCCATATTTTACTTCAGAGAATTCCTCCTAACATCTTGACTCTAAGCAATGACATTTACAAAGTTGTTCCCTATATTTTTCGTTCCCAAGACAGGTGATTTTCCACACTGTTTTGGCTCTGCAGGTCTACCTTCCTTGTGAATTTATGCACAGCCTTTCATCTCAATAGCCTACCTGGCTGCCTGTTCTCATTAAAGTGTTTTCACTTAACTTCTACCCTTCCGTTAAATGTGATACATTGATTAATCCCTTGGCAGCTTACTAAGACAAAAGCAGACACAGACCTACACAATAAAACAAAACATGCAAGGCAAAATTGACAAAATCTAACACGACATTGCACTATTTGCTCAAAACGTTTTTCCCAGCACTTTTTTCTCTAATTAAACTATAAATTCTGTGGGAAGAGGTGGCTTTTTATTCTACTGGTCTTATCTACAATAGCCACTATCTGAAAGAGGGGAAACGAGAAGCAATGACCAATACAGGATTTGCACAATAACGTAAAGGCAAGATAAATAATGTTGTCTACCTTTGGTATAAAAGTCACCGTGGCTATTTAAAGCAATAAACACTATGTAAGTATAATGTTCGCTAACTGTACCGGTTTTTACCATTTTCTCTTCCTTTCAACATGCACTAAACGACAGATTAATTAGTTTCACTCAGCTGCTGCGTTAACAATGTGATAAAGAAAATCACTGCTTTAAAAACAAGCATTTCCTGTGAAAATGAAAAACTAAAAAATTCAAAATTAATAAGTAAGTACTTAATTAATAAGTAATAAGCATCCTCTTCCTTTCAGTTTGAATGAAATTCATTCCTTTCAGAATGAAAAAGATATCATTCATTTGATGATTACTACAGGGTAACACAGAACTTTTGCTAAAGCAGATTCATTAAGGCTTGAGAAACGCTCAATATAATGTCATTTAAAAACGCAACAAATATTTAAATTAGCGCAAAGCAATATGTGTGCCTTAAGGCACATAACTTTAGAGAATATATTTCTATTCAGACGATCCATTTGCTGTATGAGTCCAGAGCCACCACTGCACCCGCGAGGGAGCCCAGAAGCTTTTCATGAAGAGCTTCAGACAGGTCTACCAATAAAGTGGAAGTTGTGGACGGTTTAAGAAGGCAGGACACTGGTTACGGAGAACAGAACCAGAACTCAGGGAGGCAGCGCGCTGGAACTCGGCTGTCGCAGAGAACAACACGGCCGAGCTAGAACCCCCTCACAGACCCGCTCCACAAAACCTCTGCTCCCAGCTCCTCTCAGCGCTCTGCCACCCCACCAAAACCGGACCCGGGGATTTAAGTCCGACCGCTTTCCCTCTTTTCGGTCTATTTTCCTTACCCGGCCCGGCCGCGTCCGCCCCGGCTCCGCCCCTTCCTGCCCCGGCCCCGCGCACCGCCCGGAACTGCCGCCCGCCGGCCTCGCGGCGCGGGGGGACTGGCGTGGCGGCGGACCCGCCTGTGCGCCTTCCTCCTCCTTCTCCTCGCCTCCGGTGAGACCCCAGCGGGCGGCTCTGCGGGGATCGGGAAGAGGGGGTCTGGGAGAAGAAAGAGGGGAAGAGGGGGTTTGGGAGGAGGAAAGAGTGGCTTGGGAGAAAGAAAGGGGGGTTTGGGAGGAGGACGGGTTTGGGGAGGAGGAAGAGGGAAGAGAAAGAAGGGGTTTGGGGGGCGGAAGAAGGTGTTTGGGAGGGGAAGAAGGGGGTTAGGAGGGGAAGAAGGGGTTTGGGAGGAGGAGGAGGGTTTTGGAAGGAGGAAGAGGGGTTTGGGAGGAGGAAGAAAGGGCTTGGGAAGAGGGAGGAAGAAGGGTTTGGGAAGGAGGAAAACGGTGGAGAAGGTGTTTGGGAAGAGGAAGGGGGAGTTTGGGAAGAGGAAGGAGGAAGAGGCGTTTTGGGAGGAGGAAGAAGGGAGGTTGGAATAGGGGAAGAGAGGGGGTTGGGAGGAGGAAGAGGGATTTGGGAGGAGCGGGGAAGAGGGGGTTCGGGGGGAAGGAGGAAGGAAGAGGCGGTTTGGGGGGAGGGAGGAGGAAGGGTTTGGGGAGGAGGAAGAGTGGAGCCCACACCACATTTGGCGGCTCTTACCCTCGGACCCGGGGTGAGCTGTGGGTCTCTTGTGGGGCTGGGAGGGGCGGCGGCCGCCGCGCTGTCCCGGTGGGTGCCAGGACGGTCCCTCCCGGGCACAGGGCACCGCCGGAGCCGCTGCCCTGAGCAACTCGCTGCAGGGCGGTAACGGGGGCAGGAGGGTGGGTGGCTTTATATTATCTTAAACATTTTAAGTGTTGCTTTCAGGGGAGAGGCGTTTTGTGCATTCCTGAAGGGAAATCTCAGGGAGAGATTTGCAGCAAGTAGGTTGCAGAGGGTCGTGTCGTGGCTTTGTTGTAACTATTTCAGAAAATCCATTTTAACTAAGGTCACCAAGAAGTTTCCAAGAGGATGATACCCAGGAATTTGTGAGCTTGATAAGTTTCAGTATACACTGGATTAAGGAAAGGTGAAAACAGTAGTGGAGGTAAACTCAATTTGCCAGTGACTTAAATCAATGAGCAGTGGCACGTGTTGAAACACCATCTTCAGGTCCATCTTCACGGAGCTGCTTTTTGTCATCTTTTAAAGGCCATGAGACTGGGGAGATCCCAAAGACTGGAGAAAGGCAAATTTTATGCTCATCTTCAAAAAGAGCAAGAGGGACTAGGAAGACAACTGCAGGCCTTGCTGCTTCCATCTGGAAAGATCATGGAGGAGGCCATTTGTAGGCATAAGGAGGAGCAGGTGGAGACTAGGGATAGCCATCTCGAGATCTACCAAGGATAAGTCATGCCTAACTACCTGGCTTGTCCCCTGTGGCAAAATAGCTAGATCTGAAGGTGAAGGAAGTGTTGGATGCCATCTGCCAGGGGCTTAAGGGGACCTAATGGAAGCCTTTATAAACCTAAGGAGATTTTTGAAAAGATGGAGCTAGTCTTTGTAGTCAGATGCTTTGAGAGGGAGTGAGAGACGGCACAAGTTAGAACTTCCAATTCCAAGCAATGAAATGGGGGTAGTGAGGCATTGGGTCAGGTTGCCCATAAGATTTTTCACATTCCTGTATTTGGAGGTTTTCAGGATCCAACTGGAAAAGTCCTGGGCAAATTGGTCTGAATTCAGTGTTGACTTCACTTTGAACAGGAGATTGCACAGGGTGACCACGTGACAGCCCTTACACACTAAATGATTCTGTGATTCTTAAATAATTCACTATTTCTGAGGAGAAAATGGCAAATAGTGTAATCTTAGACATTTTGGATAAAGGGATTACAGTGATATTGATTGAAATATTAATTTAAAAGTATATTATAAAATACGGTGTGGAATAGAATGTAAAATTAAGGATACCAGTAGTAGTAACTACATAGCAGGAAATTTTACTCTAGTCTTAGAAGATTCTTTGCAGAAGATAACAGATAAATGAGAACTGATTAATACAGTTTTCCAGACTACTGAAGTGTGTGAGTTTTGAAATGTCCCTTGTGGAAGGTAACTGAGAAATTATGCTGTCATGAATCAAGTCCTGATTAAGATACAAAATCAAAAACTGAAAACAGAAGTTTGTTTTTTCCTGCTTTTAAGATTTTCCTTGATCTACTTTCTTAAGATTTACATTACATCTGGAAGTTATCTGGAAAAGGTATTATTGGTAAATAAGCAAAATCTGCCACTGTCACTGATTAGTCAGGAAGAGAGTAAGTTCTGAGGAATGGAAGAATCTAAAGGGGAGGGAGAAAGTGAATTGATATTATCATCATAAATTAATTATTGATAAACACAGTGCAGTGAGTGTGTTGGCAGGAATTATGTGCTGTTGTTTCATGTGACTAGGTTTTAAGTTTACTGCTACATATGTTGAAGGTAGCTGAAAAGGATATGTGAGTGGAAGTCCTTTTAATCATCAGTGTCAGTGAAAAATAAAAATATTTCCAAGTTTATAAAAGGATGGGTTTGATAATAGCATTGCAATATAAATTGAAGGTGTGTGCTTTCTTGGAAAAATATCTTCAGTAGTACATTTGTCTCAGAAAATAATAGAAACAGGAGTTCAGAAACAGATGGATAAAAATACAACCATATCTGAAAATGTAATGGAAGTAGATCCCTTTAACTGCAAGTTATAATGAATAAGATAATAGATGTGTAGGTATGCAACATAGTAGATGGCAAATAAATAAAAAAAAGAGGGCTCTTTTTTTCTTAAGATCCTAGAAATCTAATAAGTCTATTAAATTGGAGGACCACGTATTCTGTATAGTACTCCATTAAACTTGTATGTATTTGGCAGAAGAACAAAGTATGCTCAAGAAATGAGAGAATCCAAAAATTCTTGGATGTTTTAAAAATAACAACCTACTAATTAGCATTATTTTTCCCCACAGGGATTTAAACCCCTTTGAATAGTACACGTTGGGAAGCCACTCCATGATTGTTCGTTGTAGGATTCTTAATATAATCTCCGATACTTCAGGGAGTTTTGTTGCCTTATGTTTGGTCTTGTGTATCCATCATCAAACAGTTCTTATATAATAGTGAAGAAGTACCAAACAGAGACCTAAGCTGAGAAAGGTGCTTTTAGGGCTAGGCTCATGGCTGAATGCTGAGTTGCAAGAAGGGTGCACTTGCTTTGAGCAAAACCAGTTCTGCTCTAGGTTTTTTTTTTTGGCACAGTCATCTAATTTCACAGCTGAGTTATCAAACTGCTAAGGAAAAGACAGTGCCATACTTTTTTTTCCTAAACAGCATTTGAATTATTTCTTGTACAAAGATTCCCCTTCAATAAGAAAGTCAAGGTCTGTCTTGCAGAACAGCCTATGGCATCACTGTTAGAACACTCTGCTGTCCTTATCTCAAGGCTATCACATTGCTCTATGCTGCTTCCACTGCCAGAGGAGCAGTTTATGAATGAAAACATGAATGAATGTAGTTGGATCTTAGGTTTATAAGTGTCAAACCACTGTTTTATACTTAAAAACTGTTTGATCTGTAAACATCTGGAAAGGGCTACTACCAGAAGCAATAATTTGCCTTTTGGACCAGGTCAGTTACTGGTGTTAGTCTGTTTGGCAGTTGTGTTGTTATGGTCCAGTAAGGAGAGCATAATTATCAATTTACTTTTTTCAGGTGATGCTATTTTTAAGACAGCTATTGATGTGTTCATCTTCCCATTGAATAGACTTCCTCTAAATCACAAATAGATTTTTTTTTTAAATTTGAAAATACATGCCTAAGATGAGCATACTTGAACTGTTTAATAAGCCCGGTTCCTTCCCTTCTCTTGAGAAATTTCTTGTGATATTAGTTGTAACTGAAGTAGCCTATGACATTAAAATTTACTCCCAAGAATAAAGAAAGAATTGCTGCAATT